TTAGCTGCAGTTTTATTGAGACCTCTGGTGCTTGTGATGGAGTAAATGGTAGTATTTTTAAGGATGGTAGCAGTGGTGATGAGGCACTGAGGCCTGATTAATTATGCTGATTAATTATGTTGCAGGGTAATTGAATCAGAAACTTCCACTAATAAAGTGTATACTGCTTTAAAAGTCAGTTTCTTGCAGCTGTCATTATATAAGGCTAACTGTAAGTCCATTGTTAATTGTGGAAATAATATAGTCGGGGGATAAACATTTTGAGGAAAGGTTTTATTCAAGCCTATTTGCCAAGGTATATGAAAAAAAAAACAAACAAACTCCTGTCAGTTGTTTGATTGTCCAGCTTCTGCTCAGGTCATGCTCTCAGGGTTCTTGAGTTCGATCCCCCCCCCCCGTTGGGCTTTGCTGACAGCAGGAGCCTACTTTGGATACTCTGTCTCCCTCTCTCTTTGCTCCTCCCCTGCTCCTGTGCTCTCCCAAACATAAATAAACATTAAAAAAAACTATCTAATGTTTATTTGTGTTTGAGAGAGACAGAGCATGAGTGGGGGAAGGACAGAGAGAGAATGAGCCCCAGAATCTGAAGTAGGCTCCAGGCTCCAGGCTCTGGGCTGTCAGCATAGAGGCCGATGCAGGGCTGGAACTCACAAACTGTGAGATCATGACCTGAGCCCAAGTCGGATGCTTAGCCAACTGAGACACCCAGACGCCCCTAAAAATTTTTCTAAAAAGGAAAACTCCCACATAAATACTTGGAGATTTCAGTTAAAATTCCTCATGTCACTTGTGAAATTTAATGGACACTTTTCTGAGAAATAGTTCAGGATCCAATCCAACCGCCATTTCTCCTAACCCAACCCCCAGCATATGGTTCAGTGGGCAATAAAGAAAGGTTAAGACAATTTCTTCTCTCTCTGAATTTCATTCCCCTTCCTACCAAATTTTTATTTTTGTTGGAGGATTCCAAGTAAATTGGAGGCTTACCCTCACCCCCCCCCCAGTTTAATATGTATTTCATTATAATGGAAGAAATGCTAACGATCCAGGTAAATTTATGGGTATCACATGCTATTTACATGTGCATGAGCACTCAGAAGACCCACTTTTATAAACTTGACCTTGAACAACATGGGGGTTAGTGGCATGCCCCCCTCACAGTCGAAAATTATTATATAACTTTTGACTTCCTCCACACTGATCTATTCATAGCTAACTGTTGACTGGAAGAGACGTGAATTTAATTACATTGAAATCAAAGTAGAGATACCTCAAGATACTCTGTCAAGCATAAATAAACAAAAAGTTAAAGAAAGTCTGTGACATTTTCTGAGAGAACAAGTTATTTATTTCAAGGACAGCTCAGTCTACAGAGAGCTACTAGCAGTTTGGTAGCCAGATTGGGTAGGTGGTATTCTGACATTGAGTAATGACTACATACTCATTCAGCAATTTGAAAACTGATATTGTGTGTTAGCAAGAGGAAAGAAAAGGAAAGGGAATCTAAATACTTATTTATATTTGGGATCTTAACACTTTCTAATACCAAATTTAACTTTCTGGTTTTGCCATATTATAGATAGCTTCATTTATTTCTGCTTATGATGATTTTCACGGACTCCAACTACTCAGAAAACTTCAGTATTTAACATTTTTGGTGTGCTTAACTTAGGTCTTAAATTTACCACTTTTATCTTAATACTTGCTGAAGAATGTTATTTTCTGTAGAAAAGAAGAAGAAAATTATAATAACTATGACTTATAAACGTGTTTTTATAAGGAAAGTGAAGCTCTAATTTCACATCTGTAGAAGGTATTATGACAGTTTTAGTGTACCCTTTTAGTAGGATTAACTAGCTAACTTAATAGAGTTAACTGAATTTATGACATCTTTAAAGTGATAAAGAAAGTGTTTATCTCCTTAGTTTTGTTTTGCTTAATAGTTAATAAAAATGAAAACACCTATTTTTTTTTCTAGTAAGACTTGATGGTTCTTCTCAATTATATATATGATCTACATAGCTGTGATTTGGATATGTCTTCTAGAAGCCTAAAGGAAAACCAGGCATTTGTCATTGTTTCCTTTGTAAGGTGCGCACTCTAATTGCTATACTTAAGGATTTGGAAACTCCATATTGCTGCATGAGCATCTGTGACAAGTGACAGTGTGATTGCCAAAGAGGAAAAGTTTCTATATTTAAAATCCAATTTAGCAAATTGACATTTTCTATTCCTGTTTCTAATATTCTCTTATTCTGACAGATCACTGTTTTAAACAAAACACAAACCATGCATTTATTTGACTGTCATGAAGAATTAAACATGAAAAGGATGAGATGCTGTGGCTATCACTTTTCATTAAACCAGCTGCTGTGGTTTTGAAATGCAAACCAGATCAAAATCAGTTCAAACCCTAGCGTTTAACTTATATACTGAATGAACCAGCTTGTTTTGAAAGCACACTTAAAAAAAAACTTAGAAGAAACTTACACATCCGTCATTTGATTTTTTTCACTAGCACTGTGAGTTAGAAGGATCCAAGAATTTTCTCTATTTTGCTGGTGAGAAAATTGAGACAGAGGCTTAATTGACTTGTGTAGTCTAGTCAGTGCCAGAATAGAGTTCCAGGCTTCTAACTGTGAATGAATGTGTCTGGCTATGGGCTCTAGATCTAGAATGTTATTCCAGGCCTCTGTCCTGGCCCACATTCTAGAATGTAACAGTTATGTGCTCTGTTTGGATCCTATAGGTTTATGAGAACCAATTGTGAAATACTTAAGAATTTTGTAAGCTGCTATAAAAGTATTGATAGCTTGAGATGAACCATAGTGGAAATATTCATACCTTGGAAATCGGTAAGCAGTACAGATCAGGATTTAATTTTTCCCCAGAAAACTGGTTGACCTGTACACTATGCATTGCATCCAAGTATAAATTGGAGGAGAACAAACAATAACAGCAACAATAAAAACAGAATACAACAATGTAACATAAATGTAATGTAATTTTGTAAATGCAGTATTTATCTAGGGGAGAGGTCAGTATTTCTTTGTTCCTTAATTTAGAAATTTGCTTCTAAGCTGTGAATAAATACGGGCAGGACTGTTGGGAAAGCTTGAATTAAACTTGAGTGTTTTGAGGACCTCTATAAATTCTTAGTTATTCTTCAGGAGCCAGGTCAAGTCTCAGCCCTTCCCAAAATTATGGTAGTCGACCTGGCTTTTTCATTTAAAATAGGATTTTAAATAGATTTAAAATGGAGCCTTATACATTGGGACTCATTTGTGTTTCATATGAATAATTTTATATCCTTAGGAATGCAATGCAGCCTTTCAAAAGTGGGACATGGACTTTCTTTTTTTTCTTCCCTTGAATAAATATTTAATTAACACTTATTCTATGCCTAGTATTGTTCCTGCTGCTTGAGAAACAGCAGTCATTAAGCAAAAGTCTCTGCCCTTATGCAGCTTTTAGTCTAGTGAAGACTCAGTCATTTAGTTACACAAATAAAAAACTATAACTGTGATACATACTTTGAAAAATTGATTATAGTATGAGAATGTCTGATGGTGGGCTTTTGTGTCTAGAAGGGAGGTGAGTTAAAGCTTCCCTGAGGGCATTGTGATTGAACTGAGATCTGAAGAATGAGAAAGAATTAATTTGAAGTTACTGATCATGAATACAATTTCTTTATGTGGGCTTTCGATGGCTTCCTAATCTGAGTTACATTCTCTTTTAATATGCACCTCCATATCACCCTAAACTTTTCCTTTGTAATGGGAACTTTCTGTAGTTTCATATTTTTTCACTAAGTGACTGTTTTTCCCACTAGAGTGTTGGCCTAGAGCTGGTACTGTTTTGTTCACCTTGGCAGTATCAGCTTTATTGCCTGACACATAATAGTCACTCAGTAGTTATTAATTCTTCTGCACCCATTGCCTTTGTCTTATAATAAAGCTGGGACGTGCCCTACCTACCTCTCAGTTATTGAGAAGACACGGTGATATAATGTCTACAAAAGTCAGAAAAATAAGATGAGACCCAAAATTGTTTAGTGTCACAGAACCTAGGAAGGACCAAGTATTCAGGAGAGAATAGAAATAAATCAGGTGTAGCAGTATTGTCTGGAAGCACAAAGAAAGAAAAGGCCATTGGATTTAGCAGTAAGCAAGTTTGACTTATTCATCTTGTTGAGGGAATTTGTTCAGTTTGTGAAACATATTAAAAATGTTTTCTGAAGTTAAATATCATTTGGTGTTGACTCTAAAAATTGCTTTCTCGGGGCGCCTGGGTGGCGCAGTCGGTT